AATTCCCCTCCCTCCCTCCCTCTCTCCCTCTCCTCTCCTCCTCCTCCTTTCCCTCTCTTCCTCTTCCTCACCCTCTCCTTGTTCCTGGTATTCAAAAAATTGCTTGAAAAATTCTCCAAAATGGGGAAGACTTGGGTAAGATGGTAAGAGAAGCCCAGGTACCTCTGAACTCTAGAAGACTGAGGTAGATGTGTTCTTTTCATATACCTTTTCAGGGTATGTCTGGTAGAAAGAACTAAAAAGTCAATTAAATATACAAATATCTTAGAGGAGAGAGCACTGGACTCAGCATCAGGATACCTCTGGTCTCATTTTCCTAATCTATAAAATTAGGGATTGGACTACATTGCCTCTAAGGTCTCTGCTATTTTAGGGAATAAAATCTCAGTGCTCTGAATTTTTTGTCATAAGCTTAGAGGAGACAAATTTATTCATTATACAAGCATGATTGGAGCAGGAGGAAGGGAGAGAAAGAAAGAGGTGTGTGTGTGTGTGTGTGTGTGTGTGTGTGTAAGAGAGAGAGAACAAGAACACACCAAGGACAGTTTATTCCCCTTTCTTGGGATTCTCTTTGCCCCAAACTATTTCTGCTTACGTTTTTATAGTAATCATGAATCTAAGACAAAGGTCTATGGTCTACATTAAACAAGAGTACAAAGTTCGATTGTAGGATTTGCTTCGCCATCCAGAACTGCAGGAATGTTAATATTGGGAGGTATACCCTTGGAGCTGCTTAGTCTTCCTGGGGCCATTCGGTCTAGTCAAGGATGGAGAAAAAGGTAAAGAATGTTCTTAGATTGACCTTCATCTATTTTCTAGGAATTCAGGGTTGCTCCCTGAACTTGAAGTTTCTCTTTAGAAACAGTGATAGGCCTTTGACCAGGATCAAACAACAGGACTTCAGAGCAGTATAGTGCCTCCTAGAAATTTGATTAAGTACTGTTATTTTCACTCAGGAGAATCCCAATGGACTCTAGACAAAAAGAATGACATCATACTTTACTTGAAGAGAAAAGCTCAGAAATCTCAGTTCTTGTGATCCTATGATCCCCATTATAAAGAGATAGGAAACTGAGGCTCAGATTGAGAGGGTCCAAAAATCTTTTGGTGCATCTACATTCACAGAGAGAGGCACTAATACATCTATTATCAGGAAATATAGGTAACCTTAAGGAAACAAGAAGTAATGTTACAAACTTGTCCCTTTCACTTAAGATTCCCACACAGTGATAAAAGGCTTTGGACTCAGAACTAATACAATCTTAATTTTCGTGGATAGATAATTGGGAAAGTGTAGGGAGGAATGAGAAGACTGTATTTCTGTCCTTCCCCCACCCTCTGAATCCAGAATACATGGGTCACTTATCTTACTTTGTATAAACTCACTAAGAGCTCTAACAACTTCTCTACATTTTCCTCCATTTTATTCCCCTGTACTTGTCTCTTTGACATTTTGCACCAGAAAGTTCAGCTAAGACTACAGGTAACTGGTAACTGACTAGCATAGACTAATCAGGGGTGGGGAATCTGCAGCTTCAAGGCCACATGTGGCCCACAGGTAACCCACTCCTGGACTAAGTAAAACAATTTATTTACATGCTAGTCTTGAGACATAGAATAAGGGAAAGTACTATTTTTCTTTTGTTCTTAGCCCAAGGACTATATCTAATAGATCTTTAACAGCACTGATTGTAACTTTCCTTTCTCTCTCTCCATCCCTGCCTCAACCTCAAATGCCCAAGTCAGTGCTATGCTGTCAGACTTCAGTGTTGGAAGAAACCTAGCCATAACAACATAACTAGTATGGAGAAGGGTTAATATGTGTGTTAATATGAGAATGCTGAAAAGTTTAAATCTATGACCTATCATAGCTGGGGTTCCTACAGTGGTTAGAGAAGGAAGCTAATACCACCACCTTGAGAAAGCAGAAGATAGCTTAAGTAATGTTAGAGAGGGAGGTGAACACTATAGCCTTTTGTTCATAAGTGACTGGTTTATCTTTATACAGTGAAGATAAGGAACAGATTCCATCATTTCATGGACCATTTGGCCTCACTCTATGCCACAGAGTGTATTTATAGTTTTAACCCATAGTCTTATAAATGCATCCTTTTGGTCCCAAGTGCTCTCCAGATTAGGTTGAAAACACCTTTGTGCCAAGTGCTTATTTGTCTACATGTAACCCAGAAAATCACCCAAGATTAAAATGTGAGGTAGATAAGACTGGCATCTGTCTCTTAATGTGGTAAAGTGAAAACAGCCCTGAAATTAGATACTGTGAGTTCCACTTACTAATTACATGATCACAAGCAAATGACATCTAATCTCTGAGCCTCAGTCTCCTCCTCTATAAGATGCAAATAATAATACCGCACAGTGTTGTTGTTTTTCTTCCTAGATAGCATAGTAGATAGACTTATGGACTTGGACCCAAGAATAACTGAGTTCAAGTCCAGTCTCAAACATTGATTAGCTGTGTGATCCTGGGCAAGTTCTGTAATCCTTTTGCACCTGTTTCTTTAACTGTAAAAAGAAAATAATAATGGAACCTATTTCACACGGTTGTCATGAGGATCAAATGAGCCATACATTGCTTGTCAATCCTTAAAATATTACATAAATATTAGTTATTGTTGTTATTTCTGTCCCAGAGGTGAAGGTACTCTTGCAGTATCCTGAAAGCAGGTCAGAAAGGATGAGAGATGAGGCTATAACCTGTGACAGCAACTCTCGTAGTTGAGGCGAATACGAATGGTTGGATATGAATGCCTGTCATCTATGAAAATAGCTCACATTTGTATAGCACTTTAGAGTTTTCAAAGGCCTTTCCTCTAAATAACCTCATGGAAGGGAACTTTAGGAACAACTAAGGACAGAGCAGGTAGCATCTCAAATAAGAAGATTAGAGAGCTTTGGCAATATTATTTAGTTAAAAAAAAAAAACCAAGATGGTCTCTCCCCTTGTCTCTTCCTCTTGCCCCACCCCCAACCATCCCTTCCTTTAATCCTCAGTTTCCTCGTTTGTAAAGTGGGGATAAGAAAAGCACCTACCTCCTAATGCCATACCACTCTCTTTCCCCTCTTCCCATTAGACTCAAGACTGATCAAATATAATTTATTTTACTCTCTATTGTGTGGTCCCTTAGAGCCCAGGCTGTTGGAGAGATTCTCAAGGAATCAGAATCTAGGAACCTGGCCACTGGCTTTTATCCATCTGAGCACAAACCTTCCACTTGGCAGGTTCTGTTTCCTCTCTCCTTTCCCTACTCCTGCTCCCATCTTCTCACTTTTTTCTTCACATTTTCCACATGCTAATCCTGGGAGTTAGTAAACTGAGGAACTGAAAAATGCTCGATTTTTTTTTTCTGGGATGTTGATATTCTGCTGGTTTAGGTGACATTTAATCTTAAAGGTTGGTTAGGAATTTTGGAATACTTGCGCCATATAATGGAGAAAAGTGGCTTTTTTCGTCTATGTCATGTGCTAAACTCTGGAATATGATTGAGGTAAAGATCCTAGTTCAAATCTGGCCTTGGACACTTAGTAGCTATGTGACCCTAGACAAGTCACTTAGCCTCTGCTTACCTCAATTTCCTTACTCTACAATGATGAGGATAAATGGAGATAATAATAGCACCTACTTCCCAAGGTGGGGCACCAAGGTGGTATAGTGGATACAGCACTAGGCTTGGAGTTCAGAAGACTCTTCTTTTGTTCAGACCTCACCTTAGACACTTACTAGCTATGTGACCCTGGGTAAGTCATTTAATCCTGTTTGCCTCAGTTTCCTCATCTGTAAAATGAGCTGGAGAAAAAAAATGGTGAACCACTCTAATATCTTTGCCAAGAAAACCCCAAATAGGGTCATGACGAGTCAGACATGACTGCAGGTCACATTTTGACTTAGAAAACCACATATTAACATTATCTATGTTTAATTGTATTTGTTTTTTTTTTCATTAAATGTTTTCCAATTATAGTTTAATCTGGCTGGAGCTGTGCAAGAATTTTGTGGCCCATATATAGGCCACATGTTTGACACCTCTGGTATTGAAAGACTTTCTCTTCATACTTTAATCTAGGTCCATAAAATGATTTTAGAGATGATCTAGCCTAATCACTTCATTTTATAGATAAGGAAACTGAGACCCAAAGGAATTAAGTCTTGTGCCTAAAATCACACAGCAGGTAATGATAATTGCTGGCATTCACATAGAGCATTAAGATTTACAGAATTTTTTATGTGTTTTCTTATTTGATCCTTACAACCTGTGAGGTAGTTGTTATTGTTATATTGCCATTTTACAAATGAGAGAACTGAGGCTAACAGTTCAAATGACTTACCCAAGGTCACACAGCTTATTGAAGGAGATTCAAACTCTTCCTGCCTCCAGGTCCAACACTCTTTCCCTATACTACCTAGCTACCTGTAAGTTGTAATAAGAAGTGGAGTGCTGGGATTCCAGTTGGGATTCCTAACTCCAAATTCGGGGCCCTTTCTGCTACCTTCTGTTGTCCCTTTGCACCAGTGGACAAAGCTGGGTTATTGAGAATAGCCTGAGTAAGGCAGGCACTTCTAGATGGCACTACATTCAGATGGTACTATTGATAAAGCATGTCAATTCATATACTTTTTTTATTTGGTCAGACTTACCTAGAGTATTTCACTATACCCCAAACAGTGAAGGAAATTGTTCTGCAAGGCTAATGGCATCTCAGTTATTGAAGTTTGGCTTCCGATGAAAAAAAGGGACTGAAGAAGGCAGCTGCCATCCACGTTGCGGCTTTCTGTACACCAAATAGAAGGACTAATAAAATTTAGCTTTAGCTGTGTATGACAGAAAAGGCCTGAATTGGTGGGCAAAGAATATGCCCTGATCACCATCTATGAAAGATGGTAACTTTAGAAGCCTTCTCTGCATAGGAGACTGGGCAAAGCAGTCAGACCTCCCCTAACCATCACCCTCTTGCTAAAGCTTTATTTTTTGTTCTCCGTGCAGGCATGAACGCTTTACAGTTACAGAATCTGGCAACATTAGCTGCTGCCGCAGCTGCTGCCCAAACCTCAGCTACCACCACCAATGCAAACCCTCTCTCCACAACAAGTAGTGCCCTGGGAGCCCTCACAAGTCCTGGTAAGAGAAATTCCTCTAATTCCAAATTTTTGCAAGGCAAAGACCCTCCATCGGTCCATAAACAAATGTTGTCCGCT